TATGTAAATGGTGGAATTCAGCGTTGATTTTTTTTTAAATCGCTGATGTGCCGTTTTATTTCTGGTCGGCGCCACACTTAATGAAAATTGATCTTCGAAAATGAAATTATGATGCCATATGTGAACTAAATGAAAAATTGGTATACTCCTAGTCTAAGTCCCGGGTCCCTGTAAAGCTCGGTGGATGTTGTGTGTACTGCGACCTGTGAATGGGCATATACATATTCACGCAATCCTGTTGTTACATTCTCTAAGACAAGCCTACGTCACAAACTGGTCAAAATCCCCCAAACATTGTCAGCAACCAATCACAGACTAGCTTAAACAATAGCATTCCCTGACGATAATACTTAGCAACGTTATTTCTCCAACGCTAACTTGAAAAATCTTTTGTTTCTGTCTCGTTTCCGTTTCCGGTCTGTCTTAGAGAATTGTATCATGGAGGTACTAACGGAATATGATGCAACCTCGCCGATTTTTTAACGTGACCATATTATATATGTCTAGACACTTTCTCTGCAATAATATTTTTAGGAGCCCCTAGGATTTTTTGTTGTAGACTTTCGAAATCTTGTTCTTGTTACAGTTGCTAATAATTAAAACATGTGAAATCTGTGAAGTAACATGTTCGTCTGTTGAATTTCCGGTTGTGAAATACGTATTTTAACCCTTCACAGCTAAACAAACGCAGTGTATGGTCGCGTTAAAAAACTGGGACCAAGAAATCGTCCAGGGCGATTTTTCGTCAGTTTTTAAATTTATTTTTTAAAACATTTTGTCGTAATTTATCGGACATTTCAATCGTTCCTGACGCCTAAATCTGTCTATTTAAGTTTTTATTCAAGAGCGTTTGGACCAGGAGCTGTTATCGCTGGAAACAATGCTGAATTCTTCTTCTTATGCTAAGTTCATCTTTGAAAACAAGTATTTTTTTATTTAAAAAAAATCATGCCATTTTTCCAACAAAATCCAAGCCAAAAGAGCGTACTACAACATCGGCAAATCTCTTCCGCGTTGAGTTCAATAACATTAACATATTTAAATGAGCTATGGTGATTTGAACGCGTTAGCATCATCCAGCATTTTGATTGGTTAATTAGCGATTTGACCTATTAGCTCGACTCACGCAAGAGAAACATGGCGGATACCCTAACGCATCGAGCGTTTATATGCGATCGGAATCATTTGCTTACGATGAAACTAAGTTGAATTTTATTTGAATCAACTAATTTATTTTTTGTGCGTTATTTTAATCACTACTGAGTAATATACAACGTTTGTGAAACGTAGCATGTCCGGATTGAGCATCTGTGATCGCTTGCTGCTACGCAATGCAGTTGTGTTCGTTTTTGTCGTTTAAAAATATACTTTTGTTACCAATAAAATAAAAACAAATGTATTTGAAAAATGACACTGGGCGACACTGTAATGACATTCTAGGTGGCCTACTTTTTAATTCAGCAAGAATTATTAATTATTGTTAATTCTGCAATAAATTTTTCGTCTGAAAATTTCCCCAAAAATATTTGATAATTATTTTTTAAAATTTTGAACCCCAAATAAGTGCCCATCACCCGTGATATCCCAAGGGCGATTTTTCGGATGGCCGAATTTACGGCAGAATCCGGTATTATATAAAGAAAGTATTATTATGGACATCTCGCGCATATTGCCAATGTTTTATACTGTTTGTAGTTTGCATATGAAAGTGGTTGTTGATGCCCCTCCTATTATTCGACGTCGTTGACAATGCGATAACAATGCCACTCGCACTGTGCACATTTTAGCACTAGATCTAGTGCCATTTTAGCACTAGATCTAGTACTTTTTCGGATTAGTGCTACTAGCACTAGCCACTCGCACTATGTCCATTTCGACACATTTACAGATACAACTTACAAGCTGTGCCTATGAATGCGAACCCGGGAGAGCCTAACATTACTTATTCAAATTATACTATCTGCCATTTGCCAAAAGAAGCACGCCTATTGGCTAGAGATTAAATGCAATCGGAATCCGCATACTTGCTATAAATAGCTTGATGTCGTAGTTGGAATTAGAATTCGGCAGCCATTCTGTGTTTTACTTCCGTGTTACATTAGTCGACAATATGTCTGGTCGTGGAAAAGGAGGCAAAGTGAAGGGGAAATCTAAGTCAAGATCGAGTCGTGCTGGTCTACAGTTCCCTGTAGGACGTGTACATCGTTTTCTACGCAAGGGTAACTATGCTGAACGTGTGGGCGCTGGCGCTCCGGTGTACTTGGCTGCTGTACTTGAATATCTAGCTGCTGAAATCCTCGAGTTGGCCGGTAATGCTGCCCGTGATAACAAGAAGTCAAGAATCATCCCCCGTCACTTGCAGTTGGCTGTCCGTAACGACGAAGAATTGAACAAACTTATGTCCGGGGTGACCATCGCACAAGGCGGCGTGCTACCAAATATTCAAGCCGTGCTCCTACCCAAGAAAACCCAAATGAAAACGAAGAACTTTTAACTGTTTCAACCGGACCTTTTTCAGCAGACATCATCTACTAGTACGTACTGTCTTGACCGAAATTGTGTTAATAATATATTCATGTTGAGAATTTTGCATCTTATTTGGTGATTTTTGGATTATGTTTGTGGATGAACTTTGTCACAATCAATAACGTTTTCACGACAGAGGTCGTGTATACTATTTGTTTTGTCTAAAAATGGATCGAATGTTTTGACTAAATTTAATATTTGTTATGTGATTGAGTCAAGTGTCACTTGCAAGTGAACGCAGGACCCGGTGGCAACAATGATAAATTGTTATCAATTGTAGCACATATTATGACATTTATAGCAATTCGCCTCGTTATGTTATGTCTGCAATACGCTTAAACTCGATTACATTATCTCCATTCATTCAGGCATGAACGTTTTTTTTTTTCCATTAAAGGGCTGGTGGTCGTTGGGCCGCGCATGTGCAACATTTCCCCACAATCCAATGCGTTCTTTTAATGAAATCACTAGTACGAGTTTTGACCTAGGCCGATCTTGCACTAATTACCACAGTGACTCCTTTGATATCTTCCAATCACCTAACAAAATACTTAAAGCTTGATAACGTCTCAGTTTGTACTCTTGCCAACAGTCAAAGTTGCCTTCTTTGTTTATTTGAGACCATATCCCACGCATGCAGGCCAAAAGATCACTGCCCTTTAATTTAACAAATGTTTACTCCAGAAGAGAACTTCTTCAATCTAAAGAAAATGCTTTCATTTTGCACATTACAAAAAGTGCAATATAAATAAATACATTATTATTGGCTGAAGAAATCTTTGGTAACACCTATGAGAAATGTATTTTATATTGTTTGTATACATTTGTAAAAGCAGTGTGATCGGTCAATTTGTTTTGAAATTTATAAACTATTTGATATATATAAACATTCATGCCTAAATGAAATTTGGTGTATATGAATAAATTTAAACTGTTTGTAAAATCAAAGTAAGTACTAGAATACTTGGGCATTTTCGCTTGGAATTTATTTTCACTATTTCCACTGAAAGGATGATTCCGTGAAAATAAAATCCAGCGAATATACTTTTTTTCCTATATTTCACATTAAACTCATCAAAATCAATGAAAATAAATTCCATGCAAAATGCCCAAAAAGCCTTTTCAGCGAAAATTAATTCCAGCGAAAATAAAGTATTCCACAGTATGTAGGAAGCATTTACCAGTGATGTAATCCCTTCACTACCACTGTTTGATTTGTCTTTAATAAATGTATATATATACATTTATATGATGTACAACACTCGTATGTATATAGTGATTATCAATTACATCAACATTGACATTTCTGACTCATTATAAACATTGTTTTAAATAACTTGCAATGGAGAATTCTATATGTAATTGTTTGTCATGCCAAGTTTTGCCTACCTGTACTAATACAATCAATGTCATGTTTACCTGTCACAATCACATGTACCATATTTACTCTATATTGGAGCATACTTTGCCAATTTAAAGCAGTCTTTACATGTATACCTTGTAAAGAATTCTACATAAAACATACATGCTTTCAATAGAACAAATCCAGTATTTGGTTTGAATGAGTAACAATATGTTGATATAACAACAAATCCAGTATTTGGTTTGAATGAGTAACAATATGTTGATATAACAACAAATCCAGTATTTGGTTTGAATGAGTAACAATATGTTGATATAACAACAAATCCAGTATTTGGTTTGAATGAGTAACAATATGTTGATATAACAACAAATAAACACCAATGTAAATTACAAAAAAATTCGGAACATCCATGCATGCTCGTTATAAAAGTACCCGGTGTAGTCTGGTGCAAACCTGGTGTATTTCATGGGTGTCTGATAAGATGTGACAATGACTTCAAGCAGTATCCTCGTAATTCCTCCCAGGAATACATCTTGGTAATGTCAAAATCCAAAATGTTTAGAACATATTTAGCAAACTTGTTTGTGTGGGCCCGTCCTGTCAAACCCTGGGGGCGGCTATGTTTTATATTATTAGAGGATGCTTACGTGCGTAATTGTTCTATATTTGGAATTCACGTTTCCTAATATGGTAGGATGAAAATACCCAGTGCAATAACACAAAATTACGACAAACTGTAATTTAGGGTGTTACAGTGACAGATGTATAATACCTCTTAACAATCTTAGAATTATCAAAACAATACCTCGTATGATACAGGTTATCTGCATATGAATTGGTTCTATTAGAATCGCATGTGCACTATGAAGAGAACATGTTTTTGAATACCAACACACTCGCATCTTGTCATTATTCTGACAACACACATTGAATTAACTTTTAACATAGTTATGTTTTGATTAAAACTTGGCTCGATAATTAATCACATTGCAACTCAATATAGAATTGCGTTTTAATTCAAGTTTATAGATATTAATTATGACAAATAGTGACTGTCGTCACAATGTTGTAAGACAAATGCACTGAAATGAAGCATGGAAGACAAAGTTAATGTTATGTATGCATTTTTATTTCTTGTACAACATAGCAAAAAATTACATAACCTGCAATAAAATATCAAGTCATCTGCCTATTTCTTGTATTTTATTTACTTTGATAACAAATTGGAATAAACTGAAACGAAAGGTTGTTGCTCTATTACATTTGTGATGGATAGAATTGATGATATATATTTTTACAAATACATTGTACAATTACTCAGAATGAAATATCCTTATAAATTTTCCCCGTCACAACAATATTTACTTCAAAGGTACTGCAGTCAATTGATGCAGTCTTATACCATAATTCCAATCAACTCTGGAAGTGAAATGCAGTACGCTGTCATCAAGATTTAGCATATTGTTTTCATTTGTAGTTGATATTGGCCCAGAGTGCCATACAAATGCATAACCTGCCTTATACCAAACACTGATTGGACTGGGAACACTTGCAGTATGTGTTTGACCAAGTTTTCATTTCCGGATTTCTAGCATTCAATTGGAATACACTTATATATGACCATTTATGTGTCTCACCAACCACATTTGTGAAATATCATCTGTTCTGCAGAAACTAGTTCTGGTCACTTGCCCACAAAGTGCTAATCAGAAAAACACATTTTTAGCAAAATTCTGGATGTGAAAAAATGTATAACTTTTTTTTCTAATTGAAAAAAAAATCACAAAAGAGATAAAAAAATTAAAAATATTCCACTTTGTCTACTACACATCCAATACCATATACATCTGTCTACAAGAATAAATAGGAACAAAAATTCTCTCACTTGACATTGTTAACGAGATACAAATTTAACAATTTTATAAAAAACAACTTGCCTGGAAAAAATGGTAAGACAACAAATTGAAGAACCAGCCTTCAACGTTTCAGAATAAATGTTTCTTATTACATATACATTGACAATCATAATTTCTACAATGACAAATGTCTGGAAGCATTGAATACACCAAAAAAGCAGTCATGACCAAAAAAAAACAAAAACATGTTCATTATGTGAAATAAAACAAATTTGATTGATGTTTCCGAGAACTGAAACAACAATGGGATAGGAATATTTATGACATAATCATACTTTGACTACAGATGTGAAAATTCCATCAGTTAATTTTAAAAATAAATTTTGTTAATTTAAAAAGAAGGAAGTACACGAAATTCAAAAATTACATTGATGGAATGACCATAGCTAATTTGCATAGGAATAAATAATTGTTGAGCATTTGCATAAAATAAACTTTTTTCACAGGGTTACCGGAAACAAAGAATATATTTTATTTGGTTTAACACAAGTTTACCTAACAAATAGAAATGACTAAAAACTAAAGAACTCTTTTTCTTCATATGACAGAAATTGTAGACAACATAAAACATGAATTAATCATATCTGTCACAGAAAACGTTTGAGATTATAATAATACTGACCAGATAATTCCCTCATTAGCATATTAGCATTCAATATATGATGCATTCTCAAAAAAAAAATTTATACGTGCGTATAAATAAAAAAAATTGTTCACAAAAAATAACAATTCTGTTTTTGGAACTGGCTGTTCATATGAAAAAACAAAAAAACTGTTAAGAATACAACATCTTACTAAAAATAGAACTGACATAACAGTTGAGTACATGAAAAACATGAAATGATGACAAGATATGCAGATGATAGATGTTTTCAACCCTAACTGGCTTACCTTGCTGTTAATTGCCTGAACCAAGCCCTTGAGAAATTATTTCAAAGCAATTGGACGAGTTATCAATACGTCTGTTGTTATTTAGTTTTTGTTTACTCATTTGTTTGTCTGAATCATTCTGGTGAATCGAATAATTAATTTGAAACAAATGCTATTATAATTAATTTTTTTTGTATCAGGGTCACAGAAAAGAAAGTTAATACCTGAATAGGACACCAGCCAATCTGAATACTTTCAGTTTCCAACCGATAGTAAATACCATGATTGGCAAGACTTTTGTCAATCTAAAATTGAATTAAAAAACCATCATCATCTCTTCATTTCATCCCAGAAATCTTTCTCGTCAAACATAAGAATGTATTTGCTGAAAGATGTATTCATGTCAATGGCTTACCAAAATAGTAAGAACGTCTAATCTACCTGACCTTTGACCTCTATTCTATCCAACTGTTGGAGACAGGTGCTGTTGCTATGACTACTAGCTCTGTGGTAATATCATCTCGCATGCACTTCTATGCATTTACCACCTTTAATCGTGACTACATTTAGTCCGATAGTTGAAAAGTCCCATCCATGACAATTATCATCATGTCTCTTCATCTTTTTCGGGATTATAAAAAATGTTCCAGAAAACTGTGAAAATGATACAGATGATGTAGACGGCCATAGCAACCCAAATCATAAAACGTTCATGAAGTTTCTGATCAAAGTTCTTGAGGATGAGGAGTCCGATTGTGGCACCTGTGATTGATCCAGTGAAATGTGGAACATACGCTGTTGGTATCCCCCTGTCTGTGTACCGCCTCCAGATTGCAAATCCAACATCTAGACTTGCTGAAAATAGAAATGAATCAAAGAAAGCTTAGAAAGGACCCTCCGTCTGCTGAGACATTAATTTAAACTTTAAGATTTGCTTCAAACGAGAAGCTTGGCAACTAATTTTTGTCTGCTATTTGAGATGCATAACATGAAAAAAATGTGATTCACATTATCAAAATTTATAATACATACAGAAAATACATTTGATTTTTCATCCATGGTTTTTAGTCTAATTTATTCTAGAGCACCTCTGCAATAAATTCAATTTAAATCTGATTTTTTTAGATATCAGAAAGGGGTTAATAATAGATAATCAATATGCATGTTTATCAACATTAAACTAATCATGTCTGTGGATTACCTCAATGAACCAAATGAATTATTATACAAACTAAGCAATTATTATGCATAGATTTAGGTCTGTATATTGTTTCAGGGCGCACAAGTACAAGTTTCATTAAAATGTGATGATTAATTCTAACTAAGTTAGTGGAAAGCTGACAAGTAAATTATTATGCAAATTAGGTAATTATTATAGATGTATATAAACCTAAAACTAATTTGATCATCACATTGTGTTAGAGTACATATGTACCAAGATTCATTGAATTAAGATATGTACTGTCACAGACCATCCATGTTAGCTAATTATCATGCAAATCAGGTAATTAATATGCATGAATTTCAACCAAAACCTAATCAAATCTGCGCATTAGCCCAGAGCATCTACACACAAAGTTTCATTAAAAACCAACATACGATTCTTGAGATATATGTGAAATGGACAGACACACAAACACACATACATACAGACAGGGTAACTGCAAAGACTCCCATTGTGTGTGAAGGTCATTTTGATTTCATTTGTATTATATTTAGTTTTGATCATGAAGAACTTCAAATGTACACAATATGCTTTAAAAGAGGTTCATTCTGAATTGAAGACCATATGTCATTGTTTTCATACTTTAATATGGGTCCATGCCATTAAGATAAAAAAACATTGGGGACACCAGACAATTGTTCTTAAAAACAAAAATCTTAAATCTCATGGAAAATGGCAAAATTTTCATTTATGCACTGATTTCCATGGTGAAATAATTTCTTCATTTTCAAAAATGTAGCTTGGAATGAAAAAATCAATTAATATTTATTATACGCCTGCAATTAAGACAATAGAATTCATCCATCACATCTTCCAGTGGGAGAAAATCACTCCAGAATCAGAATTAGTTGACAGCAAGAAGTCACATGACTACAAATGTAACAAGGTAGACAGCAGGAAGTCACATGACTAAAGATGTAACATGGTAGACAGCAAGAAGTCACATGACTACAAATGTAACGTGGTAGACAGCAGGAAGTCACATGACTGCAGATGAACTGGCCTAATAATTGTACTTACCAATAATAAACAGACATATGACTCTTAAAATACCAAAAGGCATTTCTGAAAAGTTCTGAAAAATGAAAGTATAATTAACCATTAAACGCTGTGCCAATCAAATTGAAGTTACCAAAGTTAATATCAGGCTAAAACAGACAAGAATATGACATATATGCTCACAGAATTGATGCAGTGTTATTGTCTTAATTTTCTACCACAAGTGCCACAATGTGTGAGACACAGGTTCCAAACTGAGGCACACAATGACAAGAAACAAAACCTTTGGGGCTCAAGAAGTTTAAAGATTTTGGTCAAATTTTGGAATGAAATCAATCAAACAATACTGTAAACTGATCACTGGTAGTGTGAACATAGTGTCTGTGTCATAGGGATACAGTAACTAACAGATATCTGATCATTGATAGAGGCAAATTTTATGGATAGCTAGCTCATTAGATAACATACTTGTATTGACAGATAGAAGAACACAATATAGTTTGCATGGCATGGTCATGACTACATTGTAACATTTATAAAAACAATTGAGAATGGTTGCCAAATTAGGAGACAGTTTTATCAAAACTATTATCACTGTATTGTAGTAGTTTTTTCATGCTAGTATTTTGTCCTGTACTTAGTCAGTTTGTTCAATGTACCATTGTAATTCCTTCAGGAGAATTTTGAGCATTTAAATAAATAAATTATCCATAGACTGAAAGTGTGACTGTGTGTAGAATACTTACCAGTACAACATTTGCTAAATGCCCAGCCAATAATGCATACATCCCACCTGATGCACCACACAAATAGATATGCATATCAAAAACTGATGTACCTAGGGAGCCTGAAAAAATAAGAATCCTTAAGTTTATAACAAAAAATGCTAACAACATTTATGATATAAATAAAGCGATTAAATTTACCCAACTGATAGATACTACTACTATATTCAGTACCATATCATCAATTTCCAATTAACACAAAAGTTGGTAAAAAATCTTCTTCGTAAAAACATTCAATTTTTGTTTAGCCATCTCACCTGCTAATACTCCCACAAAATAAATACTTCCAACTCTGGCAGCGCCATGTACCATTTCTAGTGGTACTCCTAGTATTAACTGTATAGTCACATTAATAATAAGATGCTCCAAACTACAATGTAAGAGTATTAATAGGTTATGACATGTCACATTCACACAGTCTGATCTGTTGAGTTGTCAGTTCGTTATATGTATTTATTTGAATTAACATTTGAAGATGACAAAACTTTGAAAAAAATATGTTCTGGCACATCCAAGAAATCGTTAATAGTATAATAGTAAAAACAAGGTAGCCAGTTGGACATTTTGAACCAAATCACAAATAATGCGTAATGTAACAAGATTCAATAAAGTAGGCCATATCTGAGAAATGGTTGATGACATTTTCAAATATTGATTCTTTTTGGTCAATTTTAAAGGTCGAAAAACAAATCAATGTGCATATTCATATCAATATCATTTTTCCTTGGATTTTTATCAACTCTAAACCTAATTGGTACAAACATGATGTCTGATAAATGGAGACCAAAACATAATTCCCGGATTCAGATCATGTCTAAAACAATCTCACACATTCAATAAAGGTAAGCACAACAAAATTACATCAACATCATACTCAAAATAAAATTTTAGCTCAAATTTTTTTTTACTACCATTTCACTTTGATATTATTTAAAATGGATGTATGATGGATACTACCCCACACTTACCCAGCATGTATAAGCATATAGGTAAAAAATCTCCAGAGTTCCAATCGTTTTGATGGCTTATATAGAAATGGACTGTCAACTGGGACTGGCCCTGTCAGGTAGTCGAAAGATACCGTGGTGTTCTTTGCATAGTAGATGTAAATACTTATCTGTAAAAAAAATTAGAATAACAAATAAGGGAGAAAATTACATATCTGTTTAAATTGGTACCCACCTACATCGACTTGTTATTGTCGTCAGTCAAGACGTCTTAAAGGGCGCCGCTCCCTGTTTGATATGGGACCCATAGCAATGTATACAACGCATGTGAAGTACAAGTACCTACATAGTTCACACTAAATTTGACCATAAAAACAGAGACAAGCTTCTCTGTATGCTAGTGCAGATCTTGGTGGTAGTAGCAAATACTCAAATACGTCAGGAACAGGCCAAATGCAATTTACTCAGTAGCAAATAATAGCCATTTGGTCAGATCTAGTTAGAGGCGATGTCACTGACAACCAAAAATACAAGAAAAAGGAGCTTCTACCTACATCAAATCTAATTTGTTTTCATTTCACATCTATGAATAATTCATACCAAGCCAGATAATTCACCTTCATTCATCAGTCACTATCTCATATTTTAGGGACGACGTCAAAAGATCGATGTCGGATAAAAAACTTATTTCCTTTAGTTTGGGGTGGGGGGTTTTGACCTCAAAAAGTTTCCATCCTTCAAAAACGATTTTATTTTTTAATGAAGTCAAAAAAATCTTGGTATATTTGTAGTTCGTTTTTTTTTCTATCATGGACAGAAATAACCGAAAAAGGAAAAAAACCCAAGAAAAAATGGTTTGGTTCGAGTGTAAATCTGTGCGTCAAATGAGGTGCATTTGTAAAGTATTTTTACACCCAGGCACCCGACAACCAACTGCTATGCAATACTACTGTCGATTCACTGGGGGGTA